CAATCTCAGGCCAGTTTCAGCTTCTCCCCAAAGATTTGTTAAGATGAAGACAATTTATTCACTGGGATGATTTTTGTCCCTTTAGGGCAACTAACTCAATACCATTGTCATATTTTTAAACTTTCTGCTTATAATTATCTGAGTCTGAAAAACTTAACATGTAGTACTAGTGTTTGCATATAATGATAATAACTTGTTATAAATTATCTTTTTCAGGAATATATATATTTTTCACAAGCCAAGTTCATATTGCGTTAACTTTCAAAAATCAGAATTCAAGGTAAATATATTATGATCTCTTCTATTTCCCCTCTTATACTTAAATTTTTGGTAGGATCACACTAGTGAAAAAAACAACTTCAAATTTCTCAAGCATTTCTAAACTTGTAACATTATTTTACACTTATATAACATTTAATTATATTTAAAAAATTAATTTTTAGAGGCTCCTAGTAATCCCTTGTCCAGACAATAAGCAAAGTTCCACTGGCTCATAACCCCAAATGTGATCCATCTGATTATGTTGTAGTAGTTAAATCCTGAGCTGCATTATACAAATTCACAGTAAGAAAATTTTTATTCACTAATAAATGAAGGAGATAACCATAGAAATAAATTCACTAGATTTAGTTTCAATTAATATTTACAGAATAGTATATAGTTCCTAACACATAAGCACATTTTCACCATCATTGTCTGGATTTGGGTTTTTGTTTGTTTGTTTGTTTCCATGTTCTTCCCTCTACCTGGAATCTCTTCCCTTTCATCCTTATTGCCTTCGTCCAGCTAACACCTGGCAGCCCTTTGGAACAGCACAGATGTCCTTGACTGTGAGGCCTCCTTCCCTGCCTGCAGTCTGGGTTAAGAGACTCAACTTCATGTGCTCTGGACGCTCTATGCTCTTCACCTCCCCGCCTCCCTGCTGCCTGATAGCTCTTCTGAGCCCTCCCTGTACCTGCCTGGTGTTAGTCCCTTTAGAAGGACTGTGTTCTTTTCTTCACCATTGCATTACCTTTCCTGGCATGAAGTAGGAGCTCAATAAAAAAAAAAAAAAATGTCAAATAAGTTAATTAACAAATTATGCATTGAGTGGAATTTTGATAAAGCTATGACACCCATTCTGGGAAATTAAATTGTACTGAAATGTGCGTGGTTCCCCATCTCAGGACAAGGCGAACCAAGCCCCCAAGGATGATCTCTCAGCTCCATGAGCAGTCTGCAGGGGTGGGGAAAGGAAACAGTCTTTGAAATGACTTTCCCATTCATTGCACTTGTCAGAGATGAAAACTCGGGCAGAGAAAGCCATTTGAGCATTCCTCTGTAGGTGGTTGCCTGCTGTGAGAGTAAGAAGCAGGTCTGCAGTAGTGACTAGGGGGAAGAAATAGTCCACCTAGTTGTGAAGTCTATCTATGAAAACACCCAGAAGAGTGTTTTGAATTTATATAGATAACCAGACTGTTAATTGGGAAGAGTTGAATCCACAGTATGATATGAGAATAATGTGCAGTTTACAGTTTACTTAGGCATGTGTTTATATTCAAACCATTGCCAGTAATAAAATGACAATAGTTTATAGATGTTGCAGGCCTTATACTAGGTTCTTTATTGCATTAACTCCTCATAGCAATGCTACAAAAGAGATCTTACTGTCATCATTTGACATCTATGGACAAGGAGGCAGATCAAGTGTGCGATGATGTATGTAAGACATTAGAAGAATGCCTGTTAGTAAGTGATAATAAATGGTGGCTGTCATTTACTAAGGCAATTTGCATGAGTTTTTGTTGCACATCACCATCCTGATATACATGTGTGTGTGGTAAAATGATCAGCTGTTCTTTATTCTGATCCTAGTCTTACGAAGGCTTTGTAAATATTGGGTTTTTTTTTTTTTTATGTCTCAGCTTGGCAAAATAAAATGATAACATGCCTACATGAGTCTTTCATTCCCCTGAATTTTTTTAACCTTAATGATGTGAGAAAATAACTTTTTCTTGGAGGCCGTTGGAACTCAAATTTAATAGCATGTAGTATGCCCTGAAAGGAAGAATTGCTTGTGTGGTTTGAGGCCAGACACTGCCGATGCTATTGGCCAGCCGAACCGAGGGTGGGCATGGAGCCTGAGGCCTGACCACAGCACACTGCTGTATGTGGCCTTAGGGAGGTTCTCCCCACAACTGCCCCCGCCCAATTCTCAGACCCTTAAAAATGACAGCAAACGAGCTCAGTGCAGAAACTCTTCAGGCCTGCGTGCTGGGCGGGCAAATCCAGGGATCCCTCATATTTTCAGATAGTGCATATTTGTATGTGTACATATTGTAGCTGAAAGGAAATAGTGTCGAATGATAACTAATGAAAAATATAGGGGCAATAATGTAAAACATGGTTTCCTTTTCCCAGGCGTTTCTAGCAATCTTGTTACACTTGATTAAATAACTAAATTTCCTTTTTAATAGCATTATTAGAAATTTTTTCTTTCGTTTATTTACTAGTTATTTAAATAATGTGGTAAAATAATATGAAAAGCTTTTAAAATATAGTGACGATTAAATTCATTGAACGTGTTTCCCATATGCCAGTAGACAAAATGATGTTGAAGCACTGAGAATTTGAGAGACAATAATAATGTGACAGTCAAGTGTCCCAGCCTTAGAGTCAGACAGATAGATACACCTGCTTTAGGACCTCACCTTTGCCACGTACAAGCTCTGTGACCTTTGGTAGATCACTTATCGGAGTTTCAATTTCTTCATCTATAATTAGAGATATAAATAGTACCCATACAGGATAAATCAAAATCACGTACATTTATCTTTTATGTGGCTGTCTTTCGAGGGAAGTTCTGATTTTACTCAGCGCTTTATTGCATCTCCAAACAAAAATCTACAGTCTAGTGCATCAGCAAACAATGGATTAATATATTTCTGAAGATTTTGTGGAAAGGAGGACAAGAGGGTTTATATCACATACTACCCTATAAAATACCTTAATATATCCCCATTAGACATTCCCATTCTCTTCCAAAGTTACTGTGGGACCTCCCTGCCTGTCAGGAACCCATTCCCTGAGCACTGCTCAGCCCTGGGCCCAGTCTCCTCCTCTCTTCTCATTTCTGGGACAAGCACATCCCTCTTCTTTTCTCACAGAGAAGAGCTTTGCCTCTTCGATATGGTGGCCTGTCTCACACAGGCACTGAAGATCCAGCTTCCATAGACTGTTGCCAACATTCACCAGTACAATTTTCTTCATATTATTAAACCCATAAAGTACTTATTGTGGTATCTAGAACACAGTAAGTTTACTATAAATGTTAGATCTTGTACTATATTATCATTAGGAGTAGAAAATAACGGACTGATACTAAGTATGATGGTTGATCTAATTTCTTGCAGTTCTCAGAAGAACGGGTGTCCTACCACCTGTTTGTGGATAGCCTAAAACCTATCGAACTACTGGTTTGCTTTTCTGCGTTGGTACGCTGGGGGGAGTATGGAGGTAAGAGGGCTCTGAGAAAATGATGGTCTTAAAACCCTGATCACATGCAGGCTAGGGAATATCCAGTAATGATGAGATCTTTATGCCATGGAAGAGGAAATTCTTCCCTCTCCAGAGTTTCTCAAGAGTCTCGCAGGACCTCCTGTACCCCTCCTCCAATGCTCTTAGTCCCCAGACATCAGGGATCACGCTCACTCTTGCCACTTGCTCCTCTCCTGGTTGCACTCATCTGTTCACCTCTTAGGCATACCTAGTTGTTCTGTTTGTTTGTTTGTTTTTCTCACTTATACATGTCATCATTCTTGATTGTTTCAGAATCTACTGAAAAACATGAACTTTCTTTGATTTGACAACCCCAGCAATCTTTTCCTCCATCCCACCTTGCCCCCTACTTTCATGGTTACACTATAGACCTTATCTTTACCAATTAGTGCATCGTCTCAATCATCTCAATTTCAAGCACTGCACTCTCTGATCGCCACGTCCTCACTCTTTCGTTCACTCTCTCTAGAACTCCACGCCTACAATTCTTGACTCCACTGGGACCTCCATCCCTCTGCTCTACTGTTTTCCTCTGTCCATCTCTCTTCTCATGTCCTTTTTCCTCCCATTCCCAGCATAGATCCTGTGGTCCCTCACTGTAATTACATCCTTGCCTATACCCTCAAAACACTTGCCCATCTTACCTTCTCATCTTACTTTCCTGGCAAGATCCTAATGTGGGTTAAACTCAATTCTGCACCTAACCTGTGGTTGCAAAAGAGCAGCTGAACGTGATTGGAAGAAAAACAGTACTGCCTATGCCTACTTAAAATTGAGAAGCACAAATCTCAACAAAGCCCTAAGCTCTGCCAACAGTTCTCTAGTTCATTCATTCCCCAACTCTCATTCCTATGAATGATTCTTGCAAACCTTCAAGTCTTCTCTCTGTTTCTCTTCAAATATTCAACACCCACTCTTACTCTCACTTATTTTCAGCTGATGAACTTACTGCTGATTTCCTGAAAAGATAGGAGAAATCAGAAATAACCTACCTTTGTCTTCCCACAGTGGATTCTCTCAAGCTCTCATCTGCCTTCCTTCCTGTTCTAAACTGTGAACTGTCCCTGATCCCCTGCACACACATGCACACACATAAAACATCGTTATGTGATTCTCTGGCCTGTCTGTTTTGTTAAAGCATTTATCTTCAGCTCAAATTAACAGTACCTGGTACTATAGGTGTACAATAAATATTTGCTGAAAGCTTAATATTGAACGTTTTGTCAACATTGAGGACAGGGAGTTTTATTTTTTACCAAAGTATCCTTAATATATTGAATGGTGTCTAGCATATATTATGTGCTAAATAAATACTTATTGTATAATAAACTTTTGTAAGGTTAGAAATTTAAGTTTAGTCTACCAAGCCAATAGCACTGAAGCCACACCATGCCCTAGAACATTTCAATTTTATATACATGAAAGCAGTTTTTAAGCCATGTTGTGACCTTCTATCCTCAAATTCAGTATTTTCTGGAAACAGGAAAAAAAGTATTTTGCCTTCAGTCATTGATGAAGAATAGTCCATATTATTTGTCTATTTTGAAATAAAAACTTGATATCAAAATGAAATTTTGTTAAGTACTTGCTATTTTCTACATAAAGTCAAAAACTGCAAACGAAAGGTAAAAATTTAGATAAATAGTGGGATATTTTGACTTGCTTTGACAGTATCTTAGAAAAATCTCTTTTTTTCTCCAAATGTGATGTGTTTCCTTCCTTTAAAGTTGCATTTAGAAGTATTTGTAATTACTGCCATAGAGATAACATTGATAAAAGTGATGGTATGTCATAATGAAATATACCTATGTGTCCTCCTTTTCCTAATTTTCCTGTTCCCTGGTTTCTTGACCCAAGGGAATGATTATTAGGAGGGATGTAGGATAAGGAGGAAGATCTGGATTCCACTTGAGTAATATTTTCAAACATTATTTGCCTGGAGTAATGTCTAATGTTTTATGAATGAATATTTTTAGAATATCTCTAATTCTTTATTATTATTATCATTATTTATGTTGTTGCTGGATAAAAAACAATCCAAATGAAGGCCAGCTATACTTTCACAATCAAATTTCAATATTTTTTAACTTATCTTAAAGCCTTAACAAAAGACAGCCCTCCCATTGAGCCTGGACTTCTAACAGTTGAAACGATTTCTTGGAAATCCCTGAAGCCACGCAATCTTGTTCTGAAGATTCATACGTATGCCACCAAGGCTACAATGGTTCGCCTGCCTGTTGGGTATGAACTTCATTTTTCCCATACTGAGAATTTTCTGAAGCCCTGCAAACTGTTGATTACTAAAGAAGTAAACAATGTGAATTCCAGGATATTTTTTCCTGAAGTGATTTCACAAGGCACAGCTCTATCATGATTCTTGAGAAAAATAATTTCATAAGCAAACAAATTGAAAAATGCTGTGCACCGAATCTTTTAGAGGATTCATAATTGTCAAAGATTCTGGGAACTTCTTTAGTAAACAATCTTGTTTAAACTTGTTTAATTTAGCAATTTCTAAAATTAATTTATTAAAGAATTTCTTTTCTCATGAATCTTATTACATTCCATAGCAAGAACCTTGATTTTATTTAAACAAAGATTGATAAACATAGCGTTTTCCCCTGGCAATCTACAGTTTTTCCTGTAGTTTATTTTTGTTAGATATTATTTTTAATTAAGATAAAGCTGGCTAAACACATCCCAGTTTCCATTTTAAAGAAAATATGTATAATGAAAAAGTTTTCTTGATTTCAATGAATAAAATTCAAAATATTATCTTATGTTTTAGGTAAAATAGATATTTTTACCAAGCTTTTTTTCCCCCCAAGATCAATCATGCTAATTCTATGTGATCAATGAAAAGCTAGGGCTTTTGTGCAAAAAGCAAAGCATAAGCAACAAAATCAAATGCTAAATTAGTGTATGGCAAACATCCTGTATTTTAGAAAATCATAAATTTTAAAACTTGAACATTTTTCACATCTGCCCTAAACACTCTGGCATGGAGAGATTCTCCTAGAAATCGAGTTACTCTGTCTGAGTGCTCATCCATTGAGACCACCAAGCAGAGAGAATTAATGAAGAATCTTCTAACCACGGTTTTCCCTCAGGACCTAACCCATCCACTTGTAGGTCTTGAACATGCTCTAAGTGCTTATAACTAAGGGAACGAGAATGTCCCTGTTCTCAGTGATCCTGATTCCTGGTGGGGGAGACAATTAACATACATGAAAGGATACATTTGTGAGGAAAAGGCTCTGAAATCTACAGAACCCTATGCTCACATGAATTATTTTTGTTGTTAGGGAGAAATCAAGACCAACCTGTCATGATATGACTGCCGCGTGTGGGAGATACCTCCATCACACGCTGGAGAGCAGTTTGGCATTTAGTCCACTTTTGTCCTACATAATTAGTAAATAGAAATTTCATAATCTCGTAGGGTTCTTTTGGAGTGAAAATTCAAAGGTGTTTATCCCATCTGTGTTAAAAATAATTCAACTCTTCACTAACCTGTGACTTAGTTTGAATTCCAAAGTGTCATCAGGCAACTAACAGAGGCAAAGGCCACTGCCCAGGAAGCACTTGGTGGGTCCTCACCAGTGTCCCTTCTCCTCAGGAGGCACATGCTGCTCTTCACCGCCTACTCCCCCGTGGGGCATTCCATACAAATCTGCAGCATGGTGAACTTCGCCATCGGGGACGAAGATGTCGTGCTGCCCTACTTTGAGCCGGTAAGTATTTTAGCAACTGCAATTCTTGTGTGCTTTATTTTCAAAGATTGTGTACTAAATACTATTTTTACTTTTTATTCAACTTGCTCATTTTTTTATCTTTTAAAATTATTAACTATATTCTGCAATAAATTCCCAACTGCAACATGTATAATGAACAGTCTAAACCCTGTAGAGAAATAAATAAAATAGTTTTTTTTCCTTCTCCAATAACTTGTTCTCACCTCTGTTCTGTTGGATCCCCTTTGACATCTGTTAACATCATTGGTCCTTTGGGGTATAAAGGATCAGTACAGTCCTTTTTCACACAGTTTAAAATTTTGATCTTTTTTATTCCTTTCATTCATTCCTTGGCCGGAGGAATTTAGAGTATGTGTCTCTGCGATTTGAGGGGTAAGGAGCTGCCCATGGAAGGTTCTGTCATTTCTCTTTCATCTCTCCTCTCTCTCTTTCTGGTCTCTGTGGTTTCTCTTGCTCCTGTGCTCTGACTAGTCTGGAAAAAGAGGTGAGGTAAACGGGGCCAGCGTCTCCTCTGAAGTTTTCACTTGGTTTTAGATGTCCTCTCTCTGCGCATGTGTGTTTGGGGAAAGATTCGTATGTGGCCTTCCCAATGCATAATTCCTGACAGCTCCTCAGCTCCAGCGCCTCCCCACCAGAAACAAATGAACGAGCATGAAACTGACTTCGAGTGGCACAACCTTGTCTTAGTTGGGATTCTCTAAGCCAGATAGCAAATCTTGCAGCAAGAAGATGGCTGAAGACCAGCTTCCTATGCTGCAGTTTCGTGACCCAGACGTGCCCTGCTCGTGCATTCTTGCCTGTGCAGGCAGTGGCTGCAAGATTCCCCATGGCTGCTCCTCTACTTGCTGTGCTGTCTCTCGCCAAGTCTCTTTCCTCCTGGTTCGTAGGCCCAGGAGGAAGATCAGCCAGTCGACGTTATAAGCAAACATCCCTTGTTTCCTTAACTATGTTTATTCTGCTTATTTCAAATTCTCATCTTTTTAAAAATAATTCTGCTGTACCTGGTACGCATTATCCAGTGTGTTGCCTTCCTTTATGTGGTTTAACTCCCAGGTGTTCACTTGTTTTGGTCTGTAAGCTCCTATTTCCCCGGAGACATCACTCCTCTAACTTGTAAAGCTTACTGGGGGTCTAGCCCAAGCCCTGCGGCTCTTTGATGCTAAAAGAGAAGCAAAAGGGGAAAGACTGGCCCAGGAGCAGAGAGGCTCTCGCTCCTGACAGCCAGAATTGCCCCATCCCAGTGCTGCCACTGACCAGAGAACTTTCCTGGTCGTGGTTCCACTCTAGGGAGAAAAGCCCTTGAGACGAGGCGTTCCCTGGGCTTTGGGGGATTTGGAGGAGGTAGTGGAGAAGCAATGTGTTCAGGTGGCCTCGGTTGCGTCTGTCTCCATCAGCGTCTCGGCCTGGCAGGGTGTCTGCGCTGTCCAGACACACTTGCTGGGCCATTCCTCAGAATTTCTGCACCGCGGTGCCCTCTGGGAAAAAAGGTTTTCCTCCAATTTTCACGCTCTTCATGTTGCTTCCAGGCACTGGCCACTACAGGCAACTCCAGCTACTACCTACCTCGCACCAACTGAGAGTCTTCAAACACCTCAGACTTTCCTCAGATTTTTAAAAAATTAGTTGAACCATCCCCATTCCTTCTTACTTTTATTGCTTCCTCAGAGTTGACACCAGGAGGCAGCCAGCAGCCTTGTCTTTTAGGCTCTGGCCTCTCCCTGAAATCTCCCTGAAATCTCCTCTGTTATCGGTCCTCAAACCCACACAGTTTTTGTCGGGTTAATCCTAGACATCCGTCTGAACTAGGTCTGGATATTAATACTCGGGAGAAGTTTTCCCTCAGCCCCAACATGAAGCGGTTTTTTCTTCTACGTGTTCCCACCCAGGTGGGAGTTGCATTCCTTGTTTTCTACCTCCGAGACTACAGCACCTAGTAAAATGCCTTGATATGTAAGTTCTCTATAAATAACTATCGAATCAGCCATATAGCAAAGGTTTAATATTTTAACATAAATTAAAGTGTTATAAACTTAATGACACCTAAATAAATGCAAGTGAGGATGGTTGCTATGCTCTGTCTTTGCAGGAGAGCTACCGCTTTACAGAGCAGTCTCTGTTGATTTTGAAAGCTGTTGGAAATGTGATTGCTAATTTCAAAGATAAGGGTAAACTTGCTGCAGCCCTGAAGGATCTACAAAGGGCTCACTACCCTCTCCCCCTCCACAATAAAGAACTCACTGTGCAGCATTTCAGGGTAAGCTTGTTCTGGACATGACGTTCACAGGAGAAAATTTGCTGTGAACATGATATACCTTCTACTAGGTGATCTCCCAAATCAGAGCCTGAGAAGATATTTTGGATGGAGACAATTTATATGGGAAGTGATTTCAGAAAGCGGAAATGAGGGAGTGGGAAGAATGAAATGAGAAAGAGAAAGAAATCAGTGAAAGGATGTGATCATTACTGCTGTGGGCTTCTGGGGCATGATGGGCCCAGAGTCCTGATGAACTATGTAAAACATCCCTGAGAGGGTCCCACTAAAGGCTGGCAAGAGAGTGGCACTTACCAACAACACTTTTCCCCACTAGTGGACGGTTGCCCTCGGGGGCTTTAACTTCCTCACACTTATAACTTGGGCTTCAGCTGTGGTTGGGGAGCTTTCCGAGTCTACACACAACCTCGAGGGCTGAAGCAAAGAGGCTTCCTGGTAGCTTCCTGAGGAGGGAGACCAGGCATGTATGGACCTGTCCCCAACAGCTGCACTGAAACCAGGTGGCCATGGGTCTGCCTTTTTTTAACCCTCACGCTATTGACATTTGGGGTCAGATAATTCTTCTTATGGGGCCGCACTGTACACTGCAGCATGTTTAATGGCACCTCTGGTCTCCACCCTCTAGACAACTGCAAATGACTTCAGATGTTGCCAGGTGTCCCCTGGAGGGGGGTAGCATTGCCGGACTTAGCAAATAAAAATACAAGACACCCAGTTAAATTTTAATTTCATGAAAACAAACAATGTGTGTAATATTTAGGGCATATATGTATACTAAAAAGTTACTTATACTAAAAATTCATTTTATCTGTTATTCAAATTTGACTGGATGTTGGGGGTTGTTGGGGAAATATAATTAAAAACAAAATCTCCTCCCAACATAGAAAACCCCTTCACAAAGGCAGAGAAAGAAAACAATTTTAGTGTTGAATGAGTCAGAAGGTGATGGGTATAACAGGCAATCCACTAAGAAATTGTAAAGACAGAAAAAAATCTCACCCTTTTATATAGCAAGCAGATATAGCGCATTTCCTATAGGCTGTCAAGATAAACAATAACTAGTCTTCGAGTGAAAGGACTCGATAATACCATTTGCCACACATAGTTCTTCCTGAATTCACTTGGTGTTAGGGGTGACCATCAGGTTAGGTAATTGGCTTTATATGAGAGGGAAAAAAAAAAAAAAACTTCTAACACCTTCTTTTTTTAAACAGAAAGAAATGGTTATTATCATTATTATTATTTTTATTTCGGGATATTATGAGGGTACAAACATTTTGGTTACATTTTATGTCTTTGCCAAGGAGCCTACTAACATTAGGCTCCTACTCTCCCAAAGAAACTGGGAGATAGGGATGCTATCTACCTTGATTAACATTTCCAAAAGATGTTTCTCAGGTCCTTGAGAAAAACCTTCCTGGCTAGAGGCTTACCAAGTTCTTAAAAAGATTTAGGTACAATTCAAAGAGAGAGAGAGAAAGAACTTACAAATTACAGATTTTCTAAGACAAAGGGTGTGAGGGGAGAAATATCATCCCTTATTTTCTATAGGAAGGATTAAGTTTCTTATTTTTAATTTATATCTACCCTTACAGTGTTATGTACTTTATCATGAAACCCTGCCTGAGGGGCAAATCAACTCCCATTTGAGAGCTGCATACTTTGAGGGCATGAGTAATACATAAGAAATATTTGCCTTAATTTGACCCCACCCTTAAGTAAACTCTGACATCCATTCTTCAAGTTCGTAGCTGGTCACATGCTCTAAAATTAAACATATAAATAAGTAAATCACCCTATGACAAAAAAGCTGTAGTCTCCACTGCTACTGCTGGCCTTGAGGCCATGGTTGGTATTCAACATCTCTCTCCTCTACCATCCATTCTAGATTTCTCTCTTTTCCAGACAGTGTTTCTAGTTACTGAAGATCTGGTAGGTGACCCAGATCTTCAATCCTGATCAGTGCAAGACCTTGGTTTGCCTTATTCTTGTCAGGCCACAGTTGTTGCAATTATTCATTTACTGTGGAAACATCAAAAAGTGTCCCAGCAAGTTTCAGACAACATTCTGTATGCCCCCATTATGTAGCAGGAACCCTAGTACCACATGACAATCAGCATGAATTCTTCTCCTACCCTGTTGTACTAATTCCTTTTTTCCTGCTTGTCTGCCAGGATGAGGAACATAAAGCAACCAGGCATACGTCATAGTTTAGGTTTACTGTAAATCACACTGTATTTCCTTGTGGAAGCCTCTCTGGCCTCCCTCCCCCAGGAAATAGGTTCTCCAATCCAGCAAACCCCTTGTAGTAGGGAAAGAGCACAGATTCTGCAAATGAGGAGTGGCAAGTGATGGGGAGAAAGGCCAATCCTACATGTAGCTTTTGAATCTCAGGCCTGTATGTTTTAGCTATGCAGATAAAGCACCACCTATTGGTCTTTGGTTCAATATATACATACTACAGGTGTCATCTCCAGGCCAGCTTCTTAGCTGAGCCTTTCATGTGCCACTCCACTCTACCAGGAATTTTATCAATTCTGTCTATGGTATATGGTAGGACCAATGGGTTCCAGACTATTCTCAATGGTTAAATCCTCACTGTATAATGTGGTTCATGATCCAAGGGTATATTAAGCTGGATCCCATGTTTGTAAATCAGATTTTCTACAATTTCTTGAATAACGATGCTGGTAGAAGCACTGAGGATGGAGAAAGCAAACTCCTACCTGAGGTAGGTATCAATTCTATAGTAAGGACTCACTGGCCCACCTTGTTAGAAGTCCACTGAAATCACCTTGCCACTAAGTGACTGGCTGGCCCCCTCAGAGGAAGGTACTATATGGAAAGATCAGAGTCAGTTTCTGCTGCTGACAGGTTAGATGATTGAGCCTGGGTGAGAGAGAGCCCAAGCCACTGGGCCCATGTGTAGTCACCATTCCTGCTACCAAGATTCCTCTGTGTGTGGGCCTTTTGCAGCCAGCCTTGATTTAATATGTAAGGGGTCTTTGTGTGTGCATCACTTCTGCAAAAGGGAGCTATTTTGTTAATAATGCAGCTTCATTTTATACCTTGATAATTGCACAGCTATGTGACATGTGGTAAAAAAGCTTTGTCCAAATAAATCTAAAAGAGCTTTTTCAATATGAAGTAAGTACTGAGTGATAAGAAAGTGATAAAAGCTCTAAGTAACATATTTTCATTTTTTGTAACATATGAAATAACAGTGTGTCTTACAATGGATGACATCTTAAAAATCAATGTAATATGATATTTAACTTGCTTAAGCACAAGGATCATATTTTTATCTTACTCTATGTCTCCTCAGTCAGTTTAATGCTATATTTTCATTGAGTATATATTATAAACATTATTGTAGTGATTGAATTTTATTAAATTAGAAACAGTCAAATAATACCTTTGGTCTTTTCCTGGGCAAGTGAGACTTCGAAGAGTCTTCTGTTACATTGTGTATATATCTGCAAAAAAATTTTTAGAGTATCTAAAGATTTTTAGAGACTCTCTGACCAGGTGACAGTATTTTCTTGGTTTAAAAGATGTATAAATGTATTTTATGTATTTCAGGTTTTTCATATTTCTTTATGGCGATTAATGAAAAAAGTTCAATCAACAAAACCTTTTCCAAACTTCAAATTTGCATTCCGTGCTATGGTTTTGGACATGGAGTTACTTGATTCCTCCTTGGAGGAGGTTTCTTTAGGTACTGATTAATTTTAGATATCTAATCAAGAAATTTCTAGCCTTATGTAAGATAAATAATTTGAGAAAAGTGCACTGGAAGTGTTTGCGGTGTAGGTAGAACAGGTCTGCTTGGGCAGTCACGGAGTTCTAGCTATGCTCTGGGAAGCTCCGGGGGTTGCAACGATCTGAGAAGTATACCCTACTCCTAATCCCTGCCATCCATGCTTCCAGGGGAGCCCCAGATTTCCATATTTTATCTGTTCCTAACCTTAAAAAATGTGAAAGTCACTAATCTACATGATATGATTTGAGGAATTCTGGGAAGATCCTCTAACCCAAGTAACTACTTGCCTCCCCTTCCCAGGCTCTGTTCTCACCATTTTAACATTTCCTTCCGTTTTTTAGAGAAACCTCTGGCTATTGTCAGAGAGGAATCAACCGTAGTAATTCACTAAGGTGTCACTATTTCATGTGTTTTCCTTCTCCAGAATGTTTACATTCAAAAAAAGGATCACCTACAATGGGCAATGTTAAATACGATGATAAATCTCCCATTGTGGCATTTCATTTATCAGAGGGCTTTAGTAGCTAAAGGCACTGAAACTTGGGGAAGGAATTAAATACAACTTTCAGCTCAAAGTTTTTTTCTCTTTTCAGCGGAATGGGTAGACGTTAAATATTCTATACCAACAAGTGACAAAGAGTACTCTCCTGAGGAGGTAGCAGCAGCAATTAAAATTCAAGCCATGTGGAGAGGGACTTACGTTAGATTACTTATGAAGGCCAGACTACCAGGTATAATTTTTCAAACATTTATAAATCAACTTGTGTATGTAAGAATGAATATTTGTTTATGTATGTTAACGAAAACTATTTTAGAGTCACCTTACTTTATGGCCCAGCTAATCAATTTTTATCCTACAAATACTGAAATTGCTTGAGATCAAGAAACATGTCAACACACCGATTCTCTTGTCCTCAGAATTTAACACAGTGTCTGGCACATAGTAAGCACACAATGAGGACTTGCTGAAAGAGTGAATGAATGGATAAATGAATGAGTGAATGATCCCAGTCTATTGTGAGTTCTTCATTTGTAAAAATGAAGGCTGTGGACAAGATATTTTAGGCATCTTATAGCTTTAATATTGTTGCTTTTATTATTATTTGTAGACACAAAGGAAAATATCAGTGTTGCAGATACTCTTCAAAAAGTTTGGGCTATATTGGAACCGAATTTAGAACAGTATTCACTTTCACTCTTAAGGTAAAGCAGTAAAATATTTCTTATTGCAGTAAATTGGTGTCCTTCAAAGTCCAGTTTGAATACTAACATATTTACTGAGTTTTCCCTAATCACTAAAGCTAGAAACACACCATTGCTTTTGAACTTCCACAATATTTTATCTGAAACGTCTCTATGGTACTTGCTACTTTTTGTTTATGTCTCAATTGCACATGTCTAAAATTCTAAGCACATATCTAAAAAATTCCAAAAAGTGGAACAGTTTCCCAATCTTATGGTGCTGAGGAGACAAAAATTAGAGTTTAGGACCTTGTAGAAGAAGGGATCCCAGTAAACAATTAAAGTAGTCAGGTGAAGTCCCTGGAGGACAACAGTCTCTAAACAGGAGCAAATCAGCAATAGGTTGAGCCTTAGAAAAGCTGCATTCTAGCCATAACTCATGTCCAAGAGACAGGATAATCTGAACAAAACTAAGAGAAAATTGCATATATAT